ATAGGCTCTGCTTGGGCCCCTCAACCTGGTCTCATAGCCCTATAAACATGCTTTGGCACATATTTGCAGGCCCGCCTTCACTTAGGGCGGGCACGGCATCTTTCAGACACTGCCGAGGATCTAAATCCTCGCACTTAGAAAACTCAGCAGAAAGCGGGAATCTCAGCAAGGCATTCATTCTTGCGGCAAAATGCAGAAATCAGCTGTGTTCTTAGTCCGTGTTTTGGCAGGTCCTTACAAACCCGTCATATTACGAGTAGGGATAAAGAAGAATTAACATGCATGGAGGGAAGAAGGAAATCCTGGGTATTTTTCTGCATGTGCCTGGTGTGTGGGTGTGTGGGTGTGTGTGTGTGTGTGTGTGTGCGTGCGTGCGCGCACACTTTTTCTGTAATCACTATGTGTTTGTGCGGATAATCCAAATGCGTCTCTATGTTTGTAAATTTCTGGAGCTTGCTGGCTATGGTGCATGAATCCTCCATCCTTTAGCTTCAAGGATACTATGCTTGGGGTTGTTCTTGAGCTTTAAGTGAGTTGCCAAAATTGGAAGAGCAACAAGCTGTTAGATAGTCCATCGTCTTGCAATTTGGCTTTGAAAATGACATTCTGCTCTTCTTCGGGCATACTCTCGCACGTGTAGCAAAACAGAAAAAAATGCTGCGTTTGCCACTCCTGGTTTGCCATTTTGCTGTGTTGCGCAGTCACACAGGGCCAGCAAATTGGAAAAGACAATGCCCTGGCGCCCTGCCGTTTTCTTGTGTGCTCACACAGCAAAAGCAGTTGAGGGATGCGGGCAATTCTCTTCTGTGAGCTCACCCATTTAGGCGGGGGGAAGGGAGGGGAATTGCCAACACCTCTAAAGGTGGTTGCGAATTACTCAACCCTGCGGCCCTTCAGGCCACTGACATTTCCCGCATCAATTGCGGATGCGATGGGCGGGCAGGAGGGCAAAGTGTGAGTGCAAAACTACGACAAATTTTGCTGTTTTGCCAAAAGAGCCCCTACTGTGAGTAGGCCCTTTGCGAAACTTGATCGCTATCGTCGGAAAATCTGACGACAGCTCTGTGAGGTATGGGAGAGAGAGAGAGAGAGAGAGAGAGAGAGAGAGAGAGAGAGAGAGAGAGAGAGAGAGAGAGGCATCACACTGTATTCTCTGATTCATCTTTCCACTCTGCATGATATGAAAATATAAGCCATCACGTGCTCAACTGTGATGCATCCGTCCATTCGCCCCCCTCATTCTGGCTTGCTGTTCCCGTCTTTCCATCTTAAAGCACCACTAGCTTTTCCCATGTCGGCCTCGGGTGGGCCTCCGATCTTTTAGGAGGCGGAAACGAAATGACGGCCGCAGATGAGATTTATCAACGGTGGGCCCTGCCCCCGATTTCTTAGGAGTACGGGAAAACTGCCGGTTTTCCCATTTTGCCAACAGTGGGCGAGGTAGTGGTGGTTTAAAGGACCAGTGCATGCCAGCCATCGACCACGGGCCCCTTTTGGAGGCCTCCCACCGCCGGTGTATATATCAATGGCGCGCGAGTCTCCAGAATTTTAGGAGGCTCAATTGAATTCTCGACTTGGCTGGGGCCATGTACTGGTGGTTTAAGAAGACTCACGAACGGTTCCCGGTCACATGAGTGTCTTGTCTTGCCCACAGTTACCTCACTGATAAGTGATCACGTCTTTCCGGAATGGGGAGTTTTACTTGCTTTGATGCCTTCATGGTCTGCCTCATTTGCTGCAATTCCCTTCTCCGATGGACATGTCTGTTCTGCATGTACAGATATATTCTCAAGGAGGCATTTCAACCAATGAGGCAAATCATAGAGTCGTTCTCAAAACTATAGTTGCGGCGCACAGGTGCGCAGTGCGGTGCCGGGCGGTGCGCACTGCGCTGTGCGCTGGGATGACAGCGCGCGCACTGTGCTCAGTNGGCGGTGCGCACTGCGCTGTGCGCTGGGATGACAGCGCGCGCACTGTGCTCAGTTCGCAGTGCGGTGCGCGCGCTGAGGGAGGTGTGCTATGTGCAGCCTGTGCGCAAAAAACAAAACAAAGCACATGCCCTTGAGAGAGAGAGAGAGAGAGAGAGAGAGAGAGAGAGAGAGAGAGAGAGAGAGAGAGAGAGAGAGAGAGAGAGAGAGAGAACAAAGGGTCCCCTGCAGGTACCTCGAATGGCTCCTACAACGCATGTGGAGCCATTGAGGGCCGCTGCTTCAATGAGAAGGATGGCCTCGTCATGGATGAAAGACATGAGGGCAGACCACCAATATATGGTGTGGATTCGAGCTCAGGGCTGTAGCTCGGCAGTTATGGGTCACCAGTACAGCTAGACCCTGTTCGTGTCTCCACATGATTTTCAGGGCCTCCCTCCACCACTCACCAAATGTATATAATATTAGTAGGATGAATCTTCTGCTAATACATGGAACCATACACCGCCATATGCTATGTCTGGTGAGTAGTGGAGCAGGCCCCACTGGACGTATTCCTTAGAAAACAAAAACAAGAAAACGAGAGAGCCACGGGCATCTTCATCGTAACCCATAACTGCCGACATGCAGACCTGAACGCCAATCTTCAGCATATATTGGTGGTCGGCTGGCCATAGAAAACGCAACTTGTGATCTCTGCGAAGCTTCGCGGGGCAGGTCGTTATCAGGCGACTACCCCTTCTTGCGAACTTACCCCACCACTGTGTGGGATTTGCAGAATGGAGTGGGAAGGACAACTTGCATACCCCGCCTAAAAAAAAAGATGGAATGAGCCCTATTTTAAAAGTATTTTATGCTTCACCATTCTGAAACTTTCGGGGGAAGGGCCTGTGGAAATCGAAATTTGGCAGCCCTTACCCAAAAGAAAATAAAGAGTTGCGGGCGCGGCCGGTTTCCGAGCTTTGCGCGGCGAGTTTAACATTTTTGCTGAGTTGGGGGGCCCAAGAAATTACGAAACCCCTGCTCTCTTTTTTTTTTTTTTTGTGGACCTAATTTTCCAGTGCGGTGCATGCCCAATTCGTGCGCAAATCCGCGCACCGAGGTGCGCTGCAACTATGCTTAAAACACTATGTCCTAGCAGACCACGGCTTTCCTTGCAGCACAGGTGGAACTACTGATGGGCCTCCCTGAGAGCAAAAATGTTTTTTTCCTTCCTTTTTGTTCGTTTTTTCAAATTGTTTCCTACCCCCATCCCGGTCTCCACTTTCGCTTTTTCCCTTTGTTCTGAGATTGATACTTTCTTGTGGTAATAAGTTACTAACTGATGCCGATGTTGTGTGGTTGGCTTTTGTGCAGTCCTCCAGAGGGGCGAGATCATGCGCAGTTTGACATGATCTGTGTTTGCTTGTACTTCCTAATGTGGGGTGAGGCTGCAAATGTGCGGTTGCTTGGAGAATGCCTTTGCTACATTTATTTTCATGTAAGATGACCACTGCATACATTCAATCCAAACCCACACTCTATCCTGACATATCTGTTCTCTGTTTTGAGTACTAACTTATAGCTCGGTGAAGCGCCTCGTCTATGATTGACCAACTGCCTGATCTAAGGATCCTCTGCACGTGAAAACTCTTTGGTTGTGTCTCTCTTGCTTCCCCCCCCTTCCCCCCTGCATCCCCGTCTCTCTCTCTCTGCCACTCTCTCTCTCTCTCTCACTCCCACTCTCTCTCTATCTCTCTTTGTGCACGGCTGTAGTCCACTTCTGTGGGGGGAAAGCTCTGTCTTGGACCTGTATCTTCTTTTTTCCAAAACCTGTGACCCAAAACTTGTGAATTTTAGCTGCCTCATGTGGGCCAAGTAGCATGGTCAGCTAACTAATTCCCACACACAGAGTGGGTGTAGGCACATCTCACGTGTGCGGCTGGGTGTTTTTGTTTTTTCTTCAGGAGTAGGGAAAGCGAAAACTGGTTGGAGTGTGCAAAGCGAGCATCCGCCTTCTCATTTCAGTGCATGTATGCACACTATATCTGGAGTTACTGTTTGTGCCGCTTGGATGTCTAATATGCTGGATGCAGGCCGGACTTCGTCCTGCCTATGGTGTGATGCACAGTTAGACTCCTGCACCTTCTAAACTGAGTTGGCGATACTTTCAATTCGAGCAGAAAAAATCAAATGCGCAGTTACGACTCCTGCACCTTCGAGACTGAGTTGGCGATTCTCTCAATTCGAGCAGAAAAAATCAAAGTATACTCATGAATCCACGGTCATCTGCAGTTCGAACCCCAGTTTAGACGAATAGATGAGCCCCGAAGACAAAAGGAAATGAAAAGAATACCTGAGTGGAGCTGGTCTAATTTTTGAAGGATGAGTTTCTTAGTGTGGCCTGTGCACAGCGCTCCCATGTGTCTCCTAGCAGCTGGGCAACTCTCATGATGCGAGCTAGAAGGTAACCAGTGCACATCATGAATGCCTGTTTGGGGTTCGAACCCCAGCTGAGGGAATGCAAAGAATGCTTCGTTGGAGCTCTTGTAGTTAGTTGGAGGTCACCTGTTTATTGGTGGAAGGTGGTTTTTTTGGTATTCTGCTGATCAAGGGACATGTCTTCTCGCAGTTGTTGAAAGATGTCCAAGTGCTCTTAAGTCCTTCTGCAGGGAGCATGCCGTGGGCCACTCTGAAGACCAAGTCTGGGTATGCAGGGCAAGGAGGACAAAGAAATGGTGGGCCGTATGCTTTCCTTGAGGAGGTCATTCAACCAATCCATGCAGTTGCATGGCAGGTAAAGGCCATGGATGCTTACCGAAATTGTCATTTCAGTGGCAATGCGCCCAGCTTTCAGCGCTCACTTCAACCTATCACATGCATAAACTTAGCTATGAGATCACGATGGCCCAGAGGATGGTTGGGGGGGGTGGGGGGGGGGGGGGGGGGGGGGGGGGGGGGGGGGGGGGGGGGGGGGGAGGAGCAGAAGACGGAGGAAAGTGGAGGTTGTGTCGATGGGAAAATAGTAAAATACATCTATGGGCAAGAGCCGATTTTGAGGGGAACGAAGGTACAACGAGAAGTTTT